TTTCTTTAATAACCTATTAACTTGCTGCTGGGGTCCGGCCGATCAGGACTGAGCAATACACAGCCGGACACGGCCTGGAGCCCTCCTGCGGTCCCTCCCCGGCCCCGATCGTGCACCAGTGGGGTTCCTTGGCCTGGCCTGTGCCCTCTTGCAATCTGGGACCCTCGGGGGATGTTGGAGAGCTGGTTTTGGCCTGATCCCGCAGGCCAGACCGAAAGACCCCACTGGTGCACGAATTCATGCACTGGGCCTCTAGTGGTCTATAAAACCCCTGCATCATTTGGACCTCACATTCTCTTTGACTTCATCTCCTATTATTTCTACCACCTGCTCAGGCCACTTTTACCTCAGATGTTTGCACTTACTGTTCCCTCTGCCTGAATGTTCTTCACCAATTCGCCACATGGTTTGCTAATTCATCTCCTTCAATCTTTACTAAAAGATGTTATCTTAGGAGGGGCTTTCTTTAATAACTTATTAAAAATTGCACTCTTTGAATTTCCTGTTCCCTTTCCCTTCCTTTATTTTTCTCCATTAACACCTATCACTTTCTTATTTATCATCTCATTTACTTATTTTATCTGTTTATATCCCCCAGGAAAATGTAAGTTCCATGAGGGCATGTTTGTTGTTGTGTAAGTAAACTTTAGTCAAGTAAAAATACATATATACAAAAAAGAAACACACATCATATAGAACTTGATAAATTTACATAAAGTTAATACACCCATGGAATCATTGTTTAGATCAGGAAACAGTCCACTTTCCAATCACTATTCTCCTAAGGGAAAATTTCTGGATTTTAAATTTAATTGTATTTTAGTATGATGTATATTTTAAACAATGTTTAAAATATATATATATATATATATATTTTAGAAATTAGATAACATGTCAGGTCTAGAACATTTTCTGCTTTTAACTTTCTAAACAATATAAACAAAAAGGATACTAAATTTATTTTTTTTTAAATATATTTTTATTGATTTTTTTACAGAGAGGAAGGGAGGAGGGATAAAAGAGTTAGAAAACATTTGATGAGAGAGAACATTGATGAGAGAGAAACATTGATCAGCTGCCTCCCGCACACTCCCCATTGGGGATGTGCCCGCAACCAAGATACATGCCCTTGACCAGAATCGAACCCGGGACCCTTGAGTCCACAGGCCGATGCTCTATCCACTGAGCCAAACTGGTTAGGGCAAGGATACTAATTTAAATAATTTTTTTTTTTTTGTATTTTATTGATTTTTCACAGAGAGGAAGGGAGAGAGATAGAGAGTTAGAAACATCGATCAGCTGCCTCCTGCACACTCCCCACTGGGGATGTGCCCGCAACCAAGGTACATGCCCTTGACCGGAATCGAACCTGGGACCTTTCAGTCCGCAGGCTGATGCTCTATCCACTGAGCCAAACCGGTTTCAGCAGGATACTAATTTATAAGGTTAGTAACTGATGCCTTCAAGAGTTAAAATGACATCATTGTTCCCATTCAGTGGTGTAGGGTAAAGGAGTTGTTGAGGGGAAATTAACTTTTTAGGCAGGAAAAGAGTAAAAAGGAGAAGAAAAAATCAGAATTTAAACTGATCGTTGAAATTATGCATTTGAAAGGCTGACCTGGGAGAAATAAGACTAGGAAATGCTTTTTAGACAGAGTAATATATCTGTGTCTATGTTATTTCTACCACTAAAGCATCTACTAAAAAAATTTTAAAACCTAACGAAGTCATTTTTCTATAGAAAACAAGTGAAATGATTAAGTAATTAATTTAGTAATTAAGTAAGTTGTTGTTTATTAAAATCACTGGTAAATGGGTTCCTATCCTACTTTAGAAGGCAAGCAAAACCTCCCTGGTTTAGAATAGTCAGAGGAAACTTTTCCCTCACTTATTACACAGCAGTATGTTAAGCAAACCCTACATTGCACACAAAATGCTAATACTCCAACTAATGAAAAACCAGGAGCATCTCAGTTTTTGAAAAATGTGTATGATCTGTGTTATTTTCCAATGGTAAGTATGTTATAGAAATAAAAAAGAAAGAAAAGAAGAGGAACCACAAAAACACATTATTTTAAATTGGGCTTGCAAACATTAGACTTCTAAGTCAGAATGCTGTTAAGAAAGCCAGAAAACCAGGCTTGGCATCATCAGCTGGTGTTCAGCATGAGCCCAATCCTTTCACTAATGTTTGGAGAAATGCACACACACCAGAAAACACCCACTTGACATAAGTGCACTTTTAATTTCACCTGCCCTGTCTAATCCAGCAAATTATATGGTTCCTTAGTATTTCAAGTGGCAATGAGTACTACATAACCCAGATAGTAATGTTTTATAAAATGCATGTTTTCATAAGCTGGTAACTCAAATTGACTATATTCCATTTCAATCTGAGGACCACCCCCCCACAAAAGAAAAAATCAAGAAATACCACTATTTCATAGGACAATGACAATAAATATTAAATAAAATATTAATTATAAATCTAAGTTTAGAGGTTCTATGGAAACTAATGCCAAGACAAGAGCTGGATAACATCTTCAATCCAGTCCCTATTCCCTCAAATAACATTGACTTTCATTGGAATGTGAAGGGGATCTTTAGTATCTTGCACTTCAGATGCACGAGCAGGAGTATTTATTTAGAAACTACTTAAAAATTTTTGTGTTATGTGACCTCTAGGAAACATTGAAATTTCTGGCAAGAGTCAGCTTTTCCTTAAGCTCCACTGCAAAAACAGGTTGGTAACTATTACATATGCATAGTATAAAGAAATAATATTCAAATGAAAATCTATAAGCATCAATATGAATATTTAAATAAAACTGTATTTTCAAGCCAATGCCAATTGGATATACTTATTTTTAAAGGAGGTACAGTTGTTTATTTGTGTTGCCAATCCTTAATCTAAATATCAGTATACCTGCTTAAAATGAAATGTATTTTTGTTAGATAATGACAACTTCAGGGCTACAATTTATTAAAAATAGACCTTTAAAACAAAATACAAAACAGTGAAAGGAATGAACTTAATTTTTCTGTTTAATGAATAACAAGAAAGCACAGAAATCACTGGGACCCAAATATCATAATAGCAAGGTTATCAAGAAAGTACTTGGTGAATTCCTCAAAGCTTTCCTGGTGCATGGATTCATGCACATTGAAAGGAAATTAATTAGAAGAAATATTTTAATATCGCTATTCACCCTTTCTCTATAATAGAAGTGTCAACCAAATTCACGATTGACAATGACAGATCAAAACACATGCGTGCGATCGGCGCCAGAGAGAGCTTTATATGTATCACGCATGCGTGAGTCAACTTAGCCATTTTTATATATACTAGTGGCCCGGTGCACGAAATTGGTGCACGGGGGGGGGGGGGGGGGGGGCCCCCAGGCCCGGCAGGACCCCCTCCCAATTGGGGATTGTGGGTCCCAAACCCCCCCCCGCCTTGCCGCCTGGATTGCCCCAAACACTTTTGCTTGCAAGCTGGTCAACCCCAAATGGCCCCCCCCCC